TTCCAAATTTTTCTTCAGATCTTTCAGATTTTTTATTTTTTTTTTTTTCAATTTAAATCATTCAATTAAGTTACTTCCATCCCAGAAGCATAACCAACAAAACAAAAAAGAATTAATCAAATATGTCGTTCATATCGCCCAGTTATGATCGTGATTGCAAACAAAAATTATGATTTTTGAATTTTTTTCCCAGTTTTCCGACTTCCGTTTGTAATTGTCCCGATTTTTTTTCCTAAAAACTCTTTCAGGACCATAACGAACAAAACAAGAAAAAACTTACGCATACACATCGTTCGAATCGTGGAATAAGGTCTTGAGTTCATACAAAAATCTAATAGAAGAAAGTACTTTTTACTCCGAATTTTCCCGGCAACTTTTCCAATTTTTTTTCCCGAAGAACCTTATTGGAACTATTACAACCATTTAAAAAAAATAGCCAAATTAGTTCAGCCCTTCTCAAGTACCAACGAATAGAATTTAATTTTTATTTTTATAGATTTATTTGTGTATTAAGGATAAAATATTTGCACATATTTTCTTTTAATACTTAAATAAATGTAATTTGCCCAACAGTTACAGTTTTGTAAGTTGGTTTTTAGTGACTAATATAATTTCAATACTAGTAACNGCAACAGGATTATCACCCGGCAAAAATTTAAATTGTCGGTAACAGAGTAGGCTAGAAATTGCTTTCCTTTGTTTCCTGGTCCACCTTCTAGATTAAGGGTGTACTTTTCGATTAACCGATTGTTAAATATTCAGTTTGAAAACAGTTTAAGTCAGGACAAATAAATATCCTATCTAATTATTAGTATTTGACCCGACAGACGTTGTCCTGTCTAAATTTCAATAAATTTGTTTGTGATTGGTTTGTGAATTTGTGAAAAGCTATTGGAAATGTGTAAAAAAGTGAAAATGAGACAAAAAATCTTATTTCCTAGTGACCATTGTATCTATTAATGATTGTAGCGATGGATATTCAATTTGAAGAGGAATTCAGAAGTACGTCAATGGCAAATTTTACATGCGTTAGACTGGAATGCGTTTTTCCAAATTTTTCTTCAAATCTTCCAGATTTTTTTTTTCAATTTAAAACATTCAATTAAGTTACTTCCATTCCGGAAGCATAACCAACAAAACAAAAAAAAGAATCAATCAAATATGTCGTTCATATCGCCCAGTTATGATCGTGATTGCAAACAAAAATTAGATTTTTGAATTTTTTTCCCAGTTCGACTTCCGTTTGTAATTGTCCCGATTTTTTTTCCTGAAAACTCTTTCAGGACCATAACGAACAAAATAAGAAAAGACTTACGCATACACATCGTTCGAATCGTGGAATATGGTTTTGAGTTCATACAAAAATCTAATAGAAAAAAGCATTTTCAGTTTTATCCGAATTTTCCAATTTTCCAGGCAAGTTTTCCAATTGTTTTCCCTAAAACTATTACGACCATTAAAAAAATGTAATTTGCCAAACAGTTACAGTTTTGTAAGTTGGTTTTTAGTGACTAATATAATTTCAATACTAGTAACTACATTTTTATAGGAAGCAGTGAACTAAAATTATGATTTAAATAAATAAAGCAGCATCAAACAATTAACTATTTACTAGTATTGATATTAAAATGAGAAGTTGCGTTATGAAATTGGATTCCAAAAGGGCTCATTTTTTTGTGAGACATCATTCTATTTATATTTGCTGCTACAATAGGCTATTGATTATAGGATTTTAAAAGGAACTATGAAGTTCAAGATATTTTATTACATGAATCGTTCCAATGGCCATTTTAGATGAAAAAACCGCGGAGTGCTATTAAATTAGAGGGTGGAAATTGGAGGTAGTGGTGAAATGCACCCCTTTCAGTTTTTTAATTGTAGCTCGAAAACGAAGCAAAATTTCGCTATAGTTCATAGGAAAAATTATTTAGAGAATTAAATTTCCCATCGAAATGGCTTATTTAAAAAATTTAAAAGGAAAATTTTTTGCAAAAAAATCGTTAACAATTTGAAAAAAGCAAAAAAATTCGATTTTTTATTTTTTTTTTACTTTTTTGACTAATTTATATTAAAAACAACGAAAATCTAAAAAATACTTAAGTTTGACCTATTATAACTCAGTCAATATTAATTTGAAAACGCATAATTTTGAAGGGAATCTCATCTAGTTTTTTTGTACAGCAATTTTCTTTGCCTACTTCTACTAAAAAAAAATTGAGCCAAAAAAGTAAAAAAATCAAAAAATCTTAATTTTTTACTTTTTTTAAATGGTTTATTAACGATTTTTAGCATTACAATTTTTCTTTCAAATTTTTTAAATAAGCTAATTCGATGAGAAATTCAATTTTCTACAAAATTTTTCCTATGAACTATACCGAAATTTTGCTTCGTTTTCGTGCTATATTTAAAAAACTGCAAAAACCCTATTTTCAATTTCAACCCGCGGTTTTTTCATTTTTAATGACCCTTCGAACAAATCATGTAATGAATCCTTGAAAGAATTCTTCCCTTTTTGAGAAAAATGAGAACACGCGACGAAAATCGAAAAATTGGCTAAGTTTGAGAGGCCATATATCAGTCAATTCTCATCCAAAAATACTGTACAACCTCTTTTTTTGAAGGAAATCTTATCTATTTTTTTTTTTAAGCAATTGCCTATACCTATCGTTACTCAAAAAAAAGTAGAGGCAAAAAAGTAAAAAAAATCAACAAATCAAATTTTTTGCTTTTTTTCAAATTGTTTATTAACGACTTTTTGAAAAAAAATTTCCTTTTAAATTTTTTAAATATGCCATTTCGATGGGAAATTCAATTTTCTAAATAATTTTTTCTATGAACTATAGCGAAATTTTGCTTCGTTTTCGAGGTACAATTAAAAAACTGAAAACCCCTATCTCCAATTTCCAAGTCCTTGTCGTAAGATTCTCTAGACTTTGGCGCAAATAGTCTCAAAGATGCAGCTTCTGTCAGTTTGTTGTCAAAGTACAATTGCTCTGTTATTTTTTGAGATACAAAGAAATGTTCAAATGAAAGTTAGAGAGCATCAAATATACAATACTTTAAAACTATTGGCAAATTATGTATGCCAGCGTGGCGATCAGTAAGTTAGATTTTTTAAAAGAAAGAAAAAGTTCTCATAAAATTCAAAATAAGATCATGTAAATAATTTTGCATTAAGACTGTATAGAAAGCTTCCTAAATTTTACAAAAATTAACAGTATGAAAGACCATCATATCTTCAGACCTGTAAGATATTTGTATTTTATACGGAGTTTTTTCTATATACATGCCATTTTTTATGAATTTCATACTTTAACTTTTAATAATGTTTTTCTTGAATTCTTTCAGGGAGTATTTCAATTTCTCAAAAAGGCAGCAATGACAGGGTTTCTTTGTATTTTCCAGACCAATAAATCGCCTTGTATATAAATATAGATAGATCCCTCTCGATTGTTATTTCCTATAACTCAAACAAGTTTTCTCATTCTAATACACGAGTTGTGCTTCTAATTTTTAAAATATGATATTAGACGGGAACAAAAATGTAATTTGAAGAAAAAAATCTTATATACGTGGTCCCGAATGCATTTACTACAAAATACACGGAATAATAACAGTGAATTACCAAAATCGTACTTTTAAATAACTGGAATGATTTCAAATAAATCAGTTCTTTTTAGAATTAATTATTTGCAATTAGAAGTTTGCTTTTCATAGTTAGGTGCATTAATAGCTGTCTTTTAAGCCGAATTTTAAAATTTAGTCAAAATTGATCATTGATCAAATTGATTATTTGTAAAATAATCAACAAATGTGTGACAAAAATGTCAAATACATAGCTTTCATTTGCCTACTTTTAAAATTTCTAGTTACGTTAAAAAAATATCATATACAGAATGATTTTTTTCATACGAACTCTTCTAATTAATTTTTTTTTAAATAGACACGAATTCAGTAGAAGGCCAGCTAAATGGCCCTAGATAGGGCGTTTGTAATTAAGTGGAAAATATTTTAGGAAGTGGTTGCCGAAGTTATTTTGTGAAAAAACGTTCATATAAACTTAGGACAAAATATGCTTTGTTTCCGAGATACAGAGTGTTTAAATTTTTTTTTTATTTTTATTAATTCTTCAAAGAGTTTTAAAAGATGTTGACTCAAAATTTGATGGTTGTATTTTATTTAGAAATATTGACAGCAACCTACTACATAGTGTATCAACAGAAATTAAAAATACACAACATGCAATAAAATGTTTTATTTTTTTTTTCTCAAAACGGTGTATTTTGTGAAGAAAATTGAAGAGACCAATTTCATTCAGAATTGATGACGGATTTCTAAAAAAATATCAATACGGGAAAAATGTCAGTGGCGTACCATTTTTTTTATTAAAAAAGTTGTGGCATTCTCGCACGAGAAGGGCAAGTAGAAATATTCGGATCACTCCAAAAAATGCACATTTATCTCTCCAAAATGTTTTTCAAATTTCGAGTCAATATCTTTAAAACTCTTTGAAATAATTAATAAAAATAAATAAAAAATGAAAATTTAAACACTCTGTATCTCGTAAACGAACGGCATATTTCGACTTTTATATGAATTTTTTTCACAAAATAACCGGCAACCACTCCCAAAAATATGTCGTACTTATTTACAAACACTCTGTATATATTAATAAAGATATTAATGGTCATTTGATATTCCCTTTAATGAACTCTGTTTGCGACAGAAATATGTAAAATTTCTCGTGACTCACTCTGTATATAAATAACGGACCTAGATGCGAATCTTGCGGCACACCAGAGGAAATAAGTATTGGATTAGATCGAAAACCACTGACTATTACCATTTGAGGTCTATTATACACGTAAGAGGCAAACAGATCAGTGATCTGAGATCACTATCTATATAGATATTAGTCTATTTGATAAACAAATTATTGCGATGTTTCTAACAAAGCTAGGCTAAATGACCAACATTAAGACATTTCTTTTTCGTTTCAGGTTCCTGGTGATACTAATAGGCTTGTGGGGATGTGTCAGCGGGGTAAGTAGAGTCGAACAGCCACCTGTTGCCCGGTGGTAGTAAAAGTCAACCCTCCCTGCGGGGGTGCCCATTCATTTGTACCACTTCTTCGGTCACACAGACGTACTACGCTTTGTCGCCTCCCGCCTTGCGCGTTTTTGGACCTGCATCTCAGACAGCTTTATGAGTTTCACTCTCTAGGCCAACAGGAAAGTTTTGTTATTCTAATTTGTCAAAACATTAGTTTTGGGTAATTGGGACTAAAGGGATAGTTTACAAATGATAAATTATAAGTAGGTAGCAGATGAGTGGGCTGGATTGAACAGGATATCTGTGGGAAATGCATAAAAAAAATTGTAGATAAATTAGGTTCCAATGCAAACCAGCATCAACGTCAATGATTTGACAAGATATGGATGCATTTGATTTGCGTTGCTTGCGGTTCGGGTATTTATAGTAGGATCGTATTCGATGCAAAGTAGAGTAAAAATTCGTCGGTCTTTTATCAAAGGAAAATCGTGTCATCACTTTTAGGAGGCGTAAGATGAACCATTTTAAATTTAAAATGAAATTGAATGTAAAATCCGAAACACCGCTGCATACGCACTGTGTTCTGGTAGTAGCTGTAGTCGCCCAGATGCATCGAGTGTACGAAGTGGTCGGTTATACGTCAAATACTAACCTTGCGAGTTTGGTCGTAATCAGAGAGCGCCTCCAAAAAATAAGTAAACAACAGTGGCGCGTACAAAGGTAAAATGTACTACATATGTGGAATTTAAAAACAAATTGGATTTATAATAAATTACACTTAAAATAAATAGTTTATGAGAATAAAGGAATTTTTGTAGGAACAAGGGTGCCAGACGTGAACTGATTCCTTCGTCCCTTCATAAGGTATAAAGAAATTATTCAATTTCTAAAACCCTTAAAAGCGTATTGCACTGGATCCCTTGATCTCAATCCCAATGATTTATTACTTTACATCGAATATGATCCTACTATAATCAAACTAGAAAAATTTGAATAGAAAAATTAGAATATTGCGGGCTTTTATTAAAAAAAATTACCATCTCGCTACTAGTGGATTACTATTTCACACAGCGATAGCTGTTTCTTGAGTCGCCATTAAAATTAGAATTTTATGAAGAAATATTAAATTTATACTTCGCTTAACGGTATTAGATGACCCTTAAAAAAACGCAGCAAGCTATATCTTAATCATCAGTTTCCAAAGTCTACCTCAATGGCAGGCGATTGTCATGTGTTTTTGTATTTAATCTGATAGAGATTTTTTTCTAATCCAACGATATATCATAACTCATAACTTGACTTTCCGATGCACTTTTTTTGTTAATTTCATTATACTACATTTTATTAGTCTATTGTAAAGATTTTAAGTTAATTCAAACAAAGTTAAGATTTTTTTCTAAAAACTCTTATCACATAAAATCAAAAAATGTTCTCTATGGGCTACATGTTCCAGCTAGCATTGAACTATACCAGCAATATCTAGTACTAATAACTAAGAATAGCTAGTAATAAATAATTATCCAAAATAAAACGTAAAAATGGTACGGTTAAGTACCATACCAAAAATATATTGTTATAGCTTGCAACTTCTTTTATGGAACACCCTAAATAAGAAATACATTCAAAACTTATCTGCCGGCTTATTCCATACTAAAAACCTCAGATGGTCAGAAAAATTGATTATATTCCTCTTCGAGAAATATTTTACCATTTATTCTTTGTTTTTCGATTTTTTTTGAGTGTATAATATATTTCCTTTAATTCAATGCATTTTTTGACAAATTAATGGAAAATAGAAAGTCTAGTTTATGTACTAATACATACAGGGTGTTAATGATAAGTTTTGCCAAACTTTAATGGGGTGTTCTAGCAATGAAAATAATCAACTTTTGCCCTATAAAAATTTTTGGTAAGACGCTTCCCTACGGAGATACAGGGTGTTATATTCAAATATTTATATGATTTTTTCATGGATAACTTATTCCAAAATATACTCCAGTGCCGTAGTTATTGGGGGAGTAGAGGACCTTTTTTGAAAAAAAATCGTACGCCGCTGGTTTTTTAAATAGTTTTAAATGTTTTTAAAATGTACAATCAATTTGTTGCAATAAAGTATTCTTGTAAAGTATTCGTAAAGTTTATTGGTCTTTAGATAATTGGGAAATTAAATAAGAAGACACTTAAGTACTTACGTTGCTATTTACCATTTTCTATTGATTGCTAAAGGTGTAACAATAAATTATATACCAAATATTTTTGGGAGATTTCAAAACACTATACATCACAAGAAATGTTCAAAATGCTGTATAATTGAATACCAAATTTTTTTTTATTAAAATCTTTTTTTAGTTGTATGAAAAATAACAAACTTTTTTGCAACACACAAAACAGTGGCGTTGTATAGTATTTTGAAATCTCTCAAAAACACTAGGTATTGTTACACATTTAGGTATCAATAGAAAATAATAAAAATAGCAACGTCTAGGTACTTAAGTGTCTTCTTATTTGATCTCCCTATTATTTAACGACCAGTAAATTTTACGAATACTTTATTGCCACAAATTGATTATCATTTTAAAGACATTTAAAATTATTTAAAAAACCAGTGGCGTACGATTTTTTTTCAAAAGAGGTCGCCTACACCCCCAATAACTACGCCACTTGAGTGTATTTTGGAATAAGTTATCCATGAAAAGATAGTCCCTACCAAAAAAAACTTTTATACCAGTGAAGTTACTGGAAAAATAATATAAATATTTGAGACTTTTAACACCCTGTATCTCAGCGGTAAAATACGCCAGTAACACCCTGTATAATTTTCAATGCGTGCTATACATATTGGAAATTGCCTTGTTTTTATATTCGTTTATATTTTGTAGTTGAATTAGTGTTCTTTGACAGAATTTTTTATTTATTTTTTTAAACAACCGTTAAATTTAATGGACATTTAGATGTATCGAAAATTACATTGTCCAAAAAATATAACATCAGTACCTATAATTTGTTAAAATTACAAAATTTATAATTTGCTATTAAAAATAAGGAAAAAAATTGTTAATATATTGAAAACAATAAATGAATAAATAATTTTCCTACCAAACTGCGATCAAAATAATGTGTGATATACATTTATATGTAAAATAGAAAAAAATTGATTATAAGAAAACCAAAAATAATTTTGCTATATAAAATTGCAAATACTACTATCATAAACATCGTAATGAAATATTTATTAATATGTATCACATTGCGCAAAATTGCAAAGATTATTAAAAATTACTTAGATCACTTCCAGTATGAAATATCAGAATAACAACACCTAATAGTGTCTTCTTCTTTGTTTTTCATTCTCTCAGTATAACTGTACTATTTCCAGCTGTTCTTCATTTGATTCTCTACTCCATAAAAGTCACATATTTGAATAATCAAAACTATGTTCTTGGTTGACAATATTTATTGTTATACAGGGTGTTTCAGAAAGACCTCGCGTAAATTCAGGGGGTGATAGTACGACAAAAAATAAGAATTTTTTGTCTTATGAACTATACCTATGTCTATCTCCTCTTGTTTTCGAGATACAGAGCGACAAAATAAAATTTTTTAAATAGAATTTTTATGAAAATTTTCAAATGGTGCGAAATATTTTTATAAAATTAGGTATTCCGGGGTTTTTAAGGACGCCAAATACGCTGATCTAATTGTCTTTTTATATATTTCATAGAGGGCGCTAGTTATGCTAAATTCCTATTTTATTTTAAGTTCTAATTTTTTTAAGGTTAGGTTTTTTACCATTCCAATTTCTAATGTACAATTTTATTTTCTAAAAATAATGTCCTCTTGTTAGAACTTCCTAATGTGGACGGTTTTCGAGAAAAGAGGCTTTTAATTGAACACTTACAATATTACGATGTAGAAAATAAGTGACTTTTCTCAAAGTAGGCTTATGTCAAAACCTATTGATGGATGTCTCATAAACAACGCATACATTCTCAGTAATATTTAAAAATTCTAATTAACTTTATATCAANGTTATACGTCAAATACTAACCTGGCGAGCTTTGCCGTCAATTAGAGAGCGCTTCCAAAAAACAAGTAAACAACAGTGGCGCGTACAGAGGTAAAATGTAGTACATATGTGGAATTTAGGAAACAAATTGGATTTATAATAAATTACATTTAAAATAAATAGTTTATGAGAATAAAGGAATTTTTGTAGGAACAAGAGTGCCAGACGTGAACTGATTCCTTCGTCCCTTCATAAGGTATAAAGAAATTATTCAATTCCTAAAACCTTTAAAAGCGTATTGCACTGGGTTTATTACTTTGCATCGAATATGATCCTACTATAGTCAAACTAGAAGAATATTTGAATAGAAAAATTAGTATATCGCAAGCTTTTATTAAAAGAAAATTACCATCTCGCTACTAGTGGATTACTATTTCACACAGCGATAGCTGTTTCTTGAGTCGCCATTAAAATTAGAATTTTATGAAGAAATATTAAATTCATACTTCGCTTAGCGGTATTAGGTGACCCTTAAAAAACACAGCAAGCTATATCTTAATCATCAGTTTCCAAAGTCTACCTCAATGGCAGGCGATTGTCATGTGTTTTTGTATTTAATCTGATAGAGATTTTTTTCTAATCCAACGATATATCATAACTCATAACTTGACTTTCCGATGCACTTTTTTTGTTAATTTCATTATACTACATTTTATTAGTCTATTGTAAAGATTTTAAGTTAATTCAAACAAAGTTAAGATTTTTTTCTAAAAACTCTTATCACATAAAATCAAAAAATGTTCTCTATGGGCTACATGTTCCAGCTAGCATTGAACTATACCAGCAATATCTAGTACTAATAACTAAGAATAGCTAGTAATAAATAATTATCCAAAATAAAACGTAAAAATGGTACGGTTAAGTACCATACCAAAAATATATTGTTATAGCTTGCAACTTCTTTTATGGAACACCCTAAATAAGA